TGGAGGGGGGTGGCTTATATAGAGTGCGCCAGGACCCCAGCCAGCCCACGTAGGAGAGGGTTTAAGGTGCGTTAAGGCCAGGCATTACTGGTAACGCCTTACATAAAGTATCATTATGACCATAAAGGCTATTTAACTACAGACCGTTTGGACACCGAGTGGCTCTTGGACTCCTGGTGGTCGAGTGGGTCTTCATAGTCGAGTGTCTTTGAATCTGTCGAGTGGAAACCTACCAGGTCGACTGGAAGGCTGCTTCTCTTGTGAGTCTCCTTGTGGAGGGTACCTTTGGGCAGGTCTATGACCCTACCCCAGGTATATGACTTCATCAATATCCGGAGGCATATACTTTCCAAAAAGAAACTTAGCATAATCGGCAAAACATGATACTATCTTTCTAACTGTTGCTAAAGTTTCACCTAGAAAGGAATCACTGATCGGGATTGGGCGTATGGTATCCTCTCCATTCTTGACAGATGATTTGCCACATGATTGTCTTCACCTTTTCTATCGATGATCTGCAAATCAAATTGTTGAATTAATATAAATTGATCGACCGAGGCTTAGCATGCTTTTTGATGAGAAGATATTGTAAAGCTACGGTCCGTATGAACTATCACATTGGAGTCAATGATACAAGATCTATATTTATTACAAGCAAAGGAAGAGGCAAGTAGGAAAAGAAGTAAAGAACATGCTACTGTGACGCACCTCTCCAAAGAAGACCACCAAAAGCCTTATGCAACCGCCTTCTAAAGAAATTAGGGTTCCTTTGCCTCGCTCCAGCGAGGAAGGGGCGATGATGACGGCGCACCTTCGTCTCCCTACCGTGATTGTAGTCGTCGCTAGATGATCTACGGATCTAGATGTAATTTTTATTATTGCTGGTGTTTGTTGTACTGCCATGGTTGAAGATGAATATGTTGGAGGTTTATCCCAAAAAAAAGACAATAACAAGTAATTGTTTCTCAGCCGGTATAGGAAGAACAACACATGTGGACGCAATCATTATATATTGAGAAAAATATGTTTTTGGTCCCTCAAGTTTTCCAAAAGTATAGACTTGGCTCCTCAAGATTTTTTGGTAGACATTTGGTCCTTCAAGTCTCAAAACCAGACAAGTTTGGTCCAAATCCAGAATTTGAGCGGGTTGACTGGGTTGACCATGTTTGTCTGATGAACAGCAATCAAATTCAAATAAAAATCTGAAATTTTGTGACAACCAAGATGCTTGGGTGCGCTAGGTGTGTGTAAATTTTTGTGGTCAAATAACATCCGATGAACTCTAGCAGAAAAAAAATCATTTTTTGGGTTTTCTTTTTGCCGGCCAAAATTAGTTTTTTTCTCACGAGCTCCTCAAAATGTCGAAACACAACTCAAATTTTGGGAACCGGCGATGGAATCAGTGAGAGAGATATGACAGGTAGGCTCGCGTGCTCAGTGAGAGAAACACGGGATCCTAGTTCAAATTGTCCTTCCAAACAGGTCTAGAGTGGATTTAGGTTTACAATTGATCGGTGTCAATGAGGTCCGGGATTTGGACGGGGTTTATTTGCGTCACGTGCTATAATTTTAGAGTTCAAAACAGAATTCACTCAACCAGGCAGGTATACGTCCATGCGATGCGAGGAACACATGCATGCATGGCCGCGGGGAGAAAGCGACGTACATTGTCCTCGCGCGCCATGTGCGTGCCTATTGGTGCTGTGCATGCATGTGACCATCCTATCGATCGACTACAAGTTGGCTGGAGAACGTACGTGATGCATGCGCCACAAAGTGATCGGTCGCGATATACATATGTGCAAGTAGTACGATCGTCGGTGGACCGAGCGCATTATTGTACGTCCACAAATTCCACTTTTCAGTTTGTTTCTTCTATAACACACTTTTTTTTACTGGAATGTATCAGGTAACTGTTCATGTCCACCACGTAACATCTTTTTATCAGATCAGATTCTGGTGATAGCCGCTTTTTTTTTGGAGAAAACATCCGATCTGTTTATTTTGAATCATGGCAGTAAAGCAAACACCATACATATAAAAAGTTCATCCAAATTTGCAGATCACCAAGCGACGACTATAATTAAGCACTGAAGTGAACCAAAGACGCACCGAGGTCATTGCTCCTCGCGCGCCATGTCCGTTGCTGAACTTGAAGACACATGGACGTAGATGAACGAAGACCAGTTCCGAGCAAATCCAACAAAAAAATATCCACCAGAGACACACCTCCACACGCCCAACGACGATGCTAGACACGCCACTAGGACGTGACTAGGGGGAGAACCTTATTCCATTTTTAGGGAGCCGCCGTGGTCTCGTCCTCCTGAGCAAGACACAAACCCTGACAAAACTCTAAGAAACATCTTAAAACGGAGTCATCCCGCCAGCAAGGGCCGGGATCCAACACGGCTCCATGGCCCTATGGCAACCAGAGACAAGGCAAACATGTGGCAGCGCTGGCGGGAGACATAGGAACCCTAATCTCTCTTCTTGGCAGGAGGCGGCCGCTAGCAACTTTGTTTTAAATATGGTAGCCGTTTGATACTGATCTTTCTCATTTTTGATCTGCACATATCGCCTTGTTAATATATAGTCATTTCTAAAGAAAGGGCAAAACCATTGTGTATGGCACATGACGAGAGAGCGGCAACGAGTACACAAAGTATATTATCTGTTTTTTCTTCTTAATTTACTGGTGTATTGCATCAAATACATCAAATTTCCACCCTAGGTTTTGTCATACATGCACCATAGGTTGATACGGTAACACTTGTCATGTGGTGGTGTTTTTTTCAAATACATTTAAAATTTACCTCTATTATACTGCCATATAATCATATAAGGACAATTCTCTATTAACCGCGTCTTTTTTTTAGTTAGATATTAACCGTATCCTTGGCAGCTAGAACCTCCCCGGCCCTGCATATTTATTGAACTCTTCTAATGCATAGCTCGTATGTTATTGTATTTAATGAGAGCTCACTGGACTCAAAAGTACTACCTCCGTTCAGGTTTATTGGTCCCATTGTATTTCATGTCAAATTTTGACCATAGATTAAACTAACAAAATGTTCACGCATGTCATCAAACATTATATTTTTGAAAACTATGTTCAAATACGAATCCAATGAGATAACTTTTCTTGACATGCATTAACATTTTGTTAGTTAAATCTTTAGTCAAAATTTGGCACAAACTACGAAGGGGACCTATAAACCAGGACGGATGTAGTAGCAAAACCATTACGTTAATCATGTTCTCTTGCATAACATGTTGAGAGCGACAAGTACACAAAATGTATTCTTTAGTACTAGTATGTTGCATCAGATAACAATTTAGTTCTCTTGTATTCATTCAGTGCACATATTCAATGCCGCCCTTGTAGGATGACACACGGACGAAACCATTCATGCGCACTATGACACAAATCTCATGCAGTGGTGCTTCTTTAGATGCACTTTGTAATTTTCCTCTATTAAGCTACCATAAAATCATGTAGAGGCACTTCTCTGTTTTTTTTTTGTAGAGGCACTTCTCTGTTAGCTGTGTCCTTTGCAGATAGGCCATCTCCGTTGTGTGCCACAGTGAAGATTCTTTAGGACGGCTGTTGTTGAAGTCGTAGGCCCGGCCTGTTTATATTCTCTGGCAATTCGATCCATTTTGTGTTGTGTACTTTCTCGGTAATCTACTCTATGTCATACGTGCTTGGGCCACCAAGAAAAGGACCAACACTAAAGCTCACTCCAATACCTGGTATTTAAAGTTGGTGCATCTAACATACATCAATAAGGCCTTTTATGCGAATATAGCATTTTAGCAATAGGTACGTGTGTTTCATCTTTCAATTTATTGCAAAGCTTGATTACATGTACAAGAAATTGCGCAATTTTATTCTAAACTATCAATGTCGGATAGACTTGGCACACCATAGTTTTGACCTGACGTGGCACAGTCAAGAAAATAGACGAGGTCGAAGAAAATAGGTGTGGCACAACGTACTTAAAAGTAGCAACACCATTAAGTTATTCTCCTTGCTGAAGTTTTCTCGGACATTTATTGTTGAAGCTGTAGGGCTGGTTTATCTTCCCTGACATTTCGGTCCATTAGTTATGCTCCACACCAACACTAATGTCATGCGCTGATGTTTTTAGATACACTTTGTAATTTACCTCTACTAAATTTCCATATAATCATGAAAATGCACTTCTCTATCCTTGGCTTTGTGCCTTAAATTTGTAAAGTATTTTTGACTCTTCCAATTCATAGCAGTAGATTGGGATCTAGCTCGGTGGACCGAAAAATAGAGTGGGATCTAGCTTGGTGGACCAAAAAATAGAGTGGGATCTAGCTCTTTGGGCCGAAAAATAAGGAAAACATTATATCAATTGTTTACTTTTCCATTACACGAGAGAGCGACATTGAGTACACGAAATATATTTTTATTTTCCTATTTTAGCAGTAGATTGTAACCTATGTGCCACATCGTAGATTGACACGAGTAGAATGCTCCAATGTGGCTGCACTTCTCGAATGACACAAGGACAAGACCGTTCAGCGCACTTTAACAAAAATGTAGTGACGCTTCTTCAGCGCACCATTTTTATTTCTTGTATATGTTTGTCCACTAGCATTTCTTGGAGGATTAGACAGTAATAGAAACCTCTCTTCTCTTGTATGTGGACGCAAGCTCACGTATTCCCAAGGAAGCATTGCACCTGCACATGGCTTAAACCATGCTTTAGCTAGTACATCTGAAAGACTTAGATACTTGTCAGTACTAACCAACGAGCGTCAGTGTACACATCAAAATGAACCAAGCATTGGTTACAAACTAAATCCAAATACAATGAAGCAACGTGTAATGAGAAGATTCATCCCAGCTTATTGCTTTTCTTCGAGGAGCTTCGAAGCTTAATGCGATTCAGAACAACAAGATTACAGCTACACTATTCCAACACAAAAATGTTACAGCTACAACGTGTCAAGAGAGTGTGCCGTTATCTCTCGTGGGCCAATTGCCCGAAGCTGATGGGTGCGGTGACCTGGGCCGGGCCCTCATTGAAGAGCGCCTGGGCACCCAGCTCGGCAGCCCGCTGCGTGGAGTGGATCCAGTCCCAGTACACATAGGCGTCGTGGTCGGTGCACAGCTTGGAGTTCCGCGTGCAGTAGCCGCCCTCCGCGCCCAGCCTCCCGCTCCCGCAGCACGCGCTGTCCGCGTTCTCGTACCCTTTGATTCACAGAGAGATACATGAGCATGCATCATCCTGTGTTTCGATCTCAAGCATTTTTTGTACAACTACAAAATCACTAGTGCCTTTTCAAAAAATGGATGTGTGCATAGCTTGATGCAGAGGTCAGGGGTAATTCTCTTTTTCAAAAGAAAAAAAAATAGCACATTTTCAAGATTTTCTTAGGGAAATTATAGTGCCATAACTTTTTCTATCGATTTCTGTACAGGGACGTACCAGCTGCTTGCGGGTTGGAGAAGGTTGTCTCCAAGGCAGCGAAGGAGTCGCCGAGGGAGTAGACGAGGCCTGGGAGCTTCGGGGCGAGGCCGGCGAGTGCAGACTTAAGCGTGGCGGTGAATCCCATGGCGATCTGGTTCATGGCATCGTTACATGCCCCCGTCGCATTGAGCACGCGCACCGCTGGCACGCAGCCCAGCGGGCTGACACTGATGAACCCGAACTTCCTCGCCCCCATCCCATACAAATCCTATGCATTGTGATATGTATGACCAGCTAATTAAAATAAAACATATGTACAAGAATAGTCATTTCCCTTCTGCTCGAAAATAAAAAAACACTTAATTAATGAAAAATAATAATGGATTGGATGGTTTATCGGTTTGCTTACAGTGATCGCTGCCGTGTAGTTGGAGATGAGAGCAGTGTAGAGCGCAATGACATCGCCCTGGGTGGTCGCCGTGGACTGGAACAGGTCGTTGCTGCCAACGCCGAGGAGGAAGAAGGAGTGAGCGAGGAGCCTGGACACGTTGCCTCTGCCAACTGCGGCTTCCATCTCAGCCTTGGTCGCCGCAAAGTAGCGTACCTGCTTCGACAATGGGATGCTGATCTCGGCACTCTGCAATAAGTCACAAAGTTGGTTCTCAGAAATTATAAGCAATTGTGGCTAATTATGCAATGTTAGAATGGAGCCGATTAGTTTATTCTGTGGTTGCGGTTCGACTTATATTGTTATGGTAGCGGATAGCGTTGGGGGATGTTTGAGACTAGTGGCAGTGCTAGACGACCTACAATCTTCTTATGTCAATCCATTGAAACTCTTCATAATTGTAATCAACATTCAAAGAGAATTAAGTCAAAAGCGGTGATGCCAGTTTGCTAAACAACATACGAGTGGAGTCGACATTGCTGAAGTCAAGCACATATAACCGATTGACAACCACAGAAATGAAGGTCATGTAACTTCGATTGTCGACTCGCGACTAGATAAAGGTCACCCATGTGGGATGAGGGTATGGTCGACTTTGCTCTAGGAAGCATGTTGTCAATCAAAATCCCCACAATGCAAGTGAAGAGCTAGTGGACAAGTAGTCATGCCTAGAGAATGTAGCCAGGTAGATGAGCGGCTGATAAATCTCGTGTTAAAAAAATATTAGTGCCCTGCTTTTCATTTTATGTCTATGTGTGTGGCTTTGGTAGATCGAGATGTGATCTGGCGATCGTGTCGATGCGGCTATCTACTAACATACACGTGAAATTTGATCCAAGTAGCAGATTAATTTATTAGTTTGTTGAGATCTGTGTGGTGCTATCTTTGGTGACCATAAAAAAAAATTAATTATCTCGGTGGGTGATGTTTCCCACGTTGCTCCCTCCATCGGGCTTTGGTGCCAAAGATTTCTCTAGCACGTATGAAAAAAAAAGTATGGAGGTCGTCCAAGTTTAAAACCTTTTGAAAAGGCTTTGTTCGCCGGCGATATATCTAACCAAAATGTAACTAAATTTGGTCACGAGGAGTGCACGTTATATGTTTTGTTTTGAGGAAAAAGAACAATGTACAACTACAACCCTACGAAAACATCGGAACTACATATATGTACCAATTGCGTTGACGCAATTAAGCAACCTTAGTATTTGTGTCCAGTTTTGACTGTTGATTTGACTAACAAAATATACTAGTAGTATGTCATACAAGTTATATTATTGGAATCATGTTCGAAAGAGGTTTTCAATTATACCATCATTATTGTATTATAACTTAATTTTTGATAAGTATATAAAGATCAAAGTTTGACACAAAATACAAGGACGACTGATAAACGCAGGCAGTAGTAGTTAGATGTGACTTACAGTGGAGTCGAGGACCCCAGGTACTTTGCTGCATCCATCAATCAGTATATATGAACACATGTGTTTATGGATTATGGAGTCAGTGATGTTGTAGCCGGCCGCTGCTTACCGATGAAGTCGGCGATGTTGTAGCCGTTGCTGAAACGTCCGGTGGCAATGGCGCGGCCGGGGAAGTCGACGCCGTAGAAAGGCTGGTTGGCCCTGGGCACGTCCTTCCCCGGCAGGTGGTTGTTGTTGCCCACGTCCAGCGTTGAGTCCCCAAGCACGAACATCGCCGGCACCACCGGCCGCCGCACCACCCCAGCGCTGGCGGCGACCGCACCAACAAGCGCCCCCACCACAACAAGACCGAGGAGAACGATGGCGCCCTTCATGACCTGCCGCCAGCTCGTGCGCCTGGCTAGCTAGGCAAGGAAAATAGCTTCCTCGATGAATTATGACTCTGTCTGTATAACAAACGGGAGTCGACCTGTAGTATTTGTAAGCCCAAGGGTTTGTGTTTGATTGATCTTCGGTCAATAAGCTAATCTATAAGTTATCTAACACGTCGTCCGGGTCTGCGTGTACTCCATGTGGATGTGTGAAGGGTGCCTCCCCTCGTGAAAGTTGTACTGCTCGATCGAGGGAAACGACTAATTAACCAGCGTGCATGTTACGTCTGCATCGATCGATTCCACGACCGTTGATTCCGTTCCGTTGTGGAGCCTCGATCTAGCTAGAGATGACAGTGCCTTCAATTAGTTTATACTAGCTAATTGTCTATTGCAACGGGGCTTAGTGATTCAATATCAATTATGAGTGCCTCAACAGAGACGCTATGAGTGTTTTTTTTTCTTATATGGCCCGTCCCACATGGACATTGTCGGGCAGGATTGTGTGGCAGAACATAAAGACCGGTGGATGGCATCTTCGCCGTGTGGGTTGCGGCATCTTTGTCGCGTGGTTTGCAGCATCTTCGCCGCGTAGTTTGCTGAGGCGGCCTTTTCGGGGGCGCTGATTTCTGTTTGGCAACGATGATGCATGGCGTCGAGAGGAACTCTGGTCACGGCTCGGGCTTCGGTAGTCGGATCTTCCCGGCGTGTCCGAGGTGCTCTATGCGGCACGGTCGGCGCAAGTCCTGCATATTTCCCTTGTGATGATTGTCATCAGAGTCGGAGCTGTCGGTTGTTCGCGCATGTGGCCTTCTGTTGGCATGTGCCGTCATGGTTTCTGTGCAGCTGTTTGCGGGTTGGCTTCGACGATGAAGGTCTTCGATGAAGTCGGAGTCGCCCGTTCGGAGGTAGCCGGTGATGACGATGACGCTTGCGACTGCTCGGCAGATGTCTTTTCCTCTTTGTAGCTCTGTGATCCACCACGAGATCAAGGAGGCTAAACCCTAGAAGCTAGCCTATGGTATGATTGTTGTTCTTCCTATGGACTAGGGCCATCCGGTTTATATAGACACCGGAGAGGGCTAGGGTTACACAGAGTCGGTTACAAAGGTAGGAGATCTACATATCCGTATCGCCAAGCTTGCCTTCCACGCCAAGGAAAGTCCCATCCGGACACGGGACGAAGTCTTCAATCTTGTATCTTCATAGTCTTGGAGTCCGGCCGATGATTATAGTTCGGCTATCCGGACACCCCCTAGTCCGGGACTCCCTCAGTAGCCCCCGAACCAGGCTTCAATAACGACGAATCCGGCGCGTATGTTGTCTTCGGCGTTTGCAAGGCGGGTTCTTCTCCATGCTCCATGTGTTTGCCGGATAGTGTCCTGGTTGCTTCATAAATGTTGCGCTCCTTGGCTTCCGCGTCCAATAATGGCCCTCTTCCACGTGTCGTACTAATGTGAAAGGCTGGGGTATTTTTACATTTTACCCCCTAACCGTGCGAACGAGCCGCCTATAAGAGAGGCGAGGATCTAGATCCAGCTTACCCCATCCTCCATCCGCAAGTTCTCATCGAAGCGCCTCTGACAAAAATCCATTCCATCATGGATAGTCGACGCGGCTCCTCCTCTCGCGCTCCCAGCTCTAAGCCAGGAGATTGGGGGAGATGCTCAGTTCCACACAGCGAGCTAGTGGCGCTCCAAACCGAGGGATATCTTCCCCCAGCTTTCATGGTTCCGGTTCGAGCCGGACTAGCCACCTACAAGGGTGGGAAGCAGGCGGAGAGCGTCCCCAACCCCTCCAAAGGGAGCAGATATGCTTTGTCCCCTACCTAATAAGGGGACTCGGATTTCCCATACATCCATTTCTCCGGGGGCTCCTAGAGTTCTACGGACTCCAGCTTCACCACCTCACGCCTGCCTCCATTTTACGATGTGGAAGAGATTGTTTTGCCTCGTACCCCATTCTCATGAGGGGTCGATATATCAAGTGGGCGGAGCCGAAATATGGCGCATCGCCGGGACCGGATATCTATCCGGCACCCCAAAGAAGGCGTCTGAAGACTGGCCTTTGGAATGGTTCTACATGGAGGACGCCCCTCTGCCGGATCCAGTTCGGATCGGCCTCTCGGAGTTCAGCAATGCTCCCTTGAAGAAACGCCTGAGTTGGCGCCCGCGGAGCCCTCAACGGGAAGATGATAGGAGCGTCCATTATCCGATGGGCTGGATTAGATTACTGGCCCACTCCGGATTGACCATGATTGGAGTCATGGCCATGTGCATTATGCGAGGGTGCAGCCACTCCAATATAGGGGCCACCCTATGTGGGATTTCAACGGGGAAGATGACGCCACCCGTCATGGCCGCAAAGGGCCAGGCTCGGCAGCCGATCTGGCAAAGATCCTGTCCGGCTTGTACAAGGGAGAGGAGGAGGACTTCCTCCGCACGAATCCGCTGAATGGATTCTCTATGAATAACCCTCGGAGCTGGGTAAGCGGATATTCATCCACCCGATCCATACTTTCAAAGTCAAGTATCTTACTCTGTGATTTCGACGCAGGAGCTGCACCGGGATGTGGAAGGCATACGAAGCCTAACTCCACAGCCCGAGGATCCGGAACGATCCCTTGATCCGACCTCCGAAGAGGATCCGGACATAAAGGTGGAGCTGATCGACGGGGTGTTCCACCAACTTAGCATGGACAATGCCCTAGTCGCCATTACAGCTGACTACCCCGGTTTATTTCCGGCCTCCCAAGTGACTACGACCGAGGTCTTGACACCATCATTTGATCCGCGCTCAATTCTGACCATCCCATACTGATGGTGCATCGCAGGAGGTGCCTTTAAGGCGGGAAGCCGAACCCGCGGTGGCCGCCAGCAAGGGTCAGTCCGGCCCAGCAGGTGGGAGAGGAGTGCGACGCGAACTGAAACGTCGCCGCAACGGTACAGAGCACCGCTATTTTTAAGGGAAGAATTCCCAAGAGGTATATTAATGCTCATAACTTTTCCCGAAAGAGCGCTCGCCGGACAGTGTCCGGAGAGGTTGCCAATCAAGCCTCCGCCAGCCATGCTCCAACGCATGGCCCGGGAGGGGAGGCGAATACAAGGCATGAGCCGGACGCTCCTCCGACGAAGGATGCCGACAGGCTGTCCGCCACCCGGTCTGAGGTGGAGAGCGCCATGAATCACAGGCATCGCCGGACAGTTCTTCGTGACGCGTGTTTCTCCCCGGGGGCGTTAAATGCCTTTGATGCGGGAAACGCGCACCTCCATGCCGCTCAAGATGGGTTAACCAGAGCCACGGAGCAGTATGTGAAAGACATACATGTAAGTAATTTTAATAGTTATATATGCCAGTAGCCCCGAGACTTAAAATAGTTAAAATAACTGATTTAAGGATCAATTTTTATGCAGGATCTTACGGAGAAGAATACCCATCTGTCCCAGGAGCTCCAAGAGCGCAAGGCCCAACTTGAGGCCGCACTGGCCGCCACAGGGGGAGCCACAGAGACCCCCGCTGGTAAGACGTACTTTGAAAAGATAATTAATTAACAAAGTGTGGCGTGAATCTGACAATAATATTGCAGAGGTCGCCGGACTAGATCCGGACAAGCAACAGCTACTGCGTCAGCTAAAGGCCGGAGAGAGGGTGCTTATGAAGGTGCAGCAGGAGAGAAACAAGCTCCAAGATGCCCACACCCAGCTAGGAGAAGAGCTGAAAGGTGTTCGGGCCCAGCTGTCTGGCTCCATGAAGGAGAATCAGCGGCTTCGTCGCGGCATTTATAGTAAGTGCTTGAGCAAATTCCTTTTGAAAAGAAGAATTCGGCGAGGAAGTCGATTGACAGAAATATGTCTTTAGGTATGCTCACAGGTCGCCCTGCGGAGGAAATGCCTGGGTCAACGGGTGACCAACTGCCCGAGCTGGTGCAATTGTTCGAACGTGTTCGGCAG